TTTCACAGATATTACAGAGAGGAAGGGAAACGGACAGAGAGATAGAAACATCAATGATGAGAGAAAAACATCAACCAGCTGCCTCCTGCTCGCCCCCTACTGGGGATCGAGCCTGCGACCCTTGGCATGTGCCCTTGACCAGAATCGAATCCAGGACCTTTTGGTCCCCAGGCCAACACTCTATCCACTGAGCCAAACCAGCTAGGGCCGATTGGTTTTCTTAAAAATAGAGGTTGGTGTAGCTACCTGGGAGTTAAGTAGGGACAAACCTGTAGAACCACAGAGATGTCTTTAGGATTCTGAAATTTACCGGAAGAGCAATGGAGCCATGCCTACCATCTCTGACCCCCAAATCTCCCAACTTTTTCAGAAATCTTATAGTACTAAGATTTTTGGCCTCGAAGGGGCATCTTGAATGGAATAACTCTTTTTGAGGAATGGGTTTTATTTTATTAGCAAAACTTCTATAGTGGGTATCCTTGAGTGGGAGTGGGGGAAAGGAGAGATGAAGGAGGACATAGAGGAGGCTTGGTGTTGGTAATGTGTTTCTCCATCTACGAGCCATGAACACATTCAGCTCTACACTTAAGATTTGTACTCTTTTCTTTTTTTTCTTAAATATGTTTTATTGATTTTTTACAGAGAGGAAGGGAGAGGGATAGAGAGTCAGAAACATGAATGAGAAAGAAACATCGATCAGCTGCCTCCTGCACACCCCCTACTGGGGATGTGCCCTTAAACAAGGTACATGCCCGTGACCGGAATCGAACCTGAGACCCTTTAGTCCGCAGGCTGACGCTCTATCCACCGAGCCAAACCGGTTAGGGCAAGATTTGTACTCTTTTCTGCATTTGTAAGGGCAAATACAAATTATAAGTTAGAGGCTTGATTCTCTAGTTGAAAATAAGAGACTCTCCCCCTCCTTCTTCCTTTCAGAATTTCCTCAGTCCTTTTAAAATGTATGTAAATTTTTCTAATCCTATATAATATAAGCCTAATATGCACATTGTCCCCTTGGGCGGTTGTTCGACCGGGAGTATGACCACTCGCTGTGACATGCACTGACCACCACAGGGCAGTGTGGAACATGGCGGGCATCTGCGACATGGCCCTGGCAGCAGGGAAGGCGCTGCCAGCCCGATGGGCCCTGATGAGAATGGGACTGCAGCAGAATGGTGGAGCAGGTGAGCGGGCAGCACCAGGCCAAGGCAGGTGCGAGTGGGGGCCTGATGGCCCTGTCGATTACCCTGCAGACGGCGACCAGTGGTGGCTCCCAGGTGCTGAGGGAACCAGGCAGGGGGCCCACCTTGATCACTCAGGCCCGCAGGCGGGATGGTGGAGCAGGTGAGGGGGCAGTGCCAGGCCACAGTGGGGTGCCAGGTGGGGCTGTGGGGCTGGGAGGCTGGAGGCATGAGCTGGAACCCAATCCCCACAGGCCAACCCAAAGGACCCCACCCATGCACGAATTTGTGCACTGGGCCTCTAGTAACTAAATAAGCCTCTGTCAGTGTGGACAACTCAGGAAAGTTTCAAGGAACTGAAAGCCATCCCTTAAAAATAAAGTCAATGAAAATAATGTTCTATCACCCAAGTCAACACTGCAAGCCCTGCCTAACCAGTGAATGGTATCCACTTAGCTCTACAGAGAGTACAATTTCTTCTATCTTTGCAATCATTTTAGTGGGCTGCCTATCATGTGCATCTCATTCTGGTTTAATGCTTATTCAATCATAAAACTGTTTTCTTTCTCTTCTGCCTTTATGGAGAGGTTTTTCAAGTTGGGAGATTATTCATTTTCATATTTCCCCAATACATTTCATGCTTCAATGAAGAGGTCAAAATATGCTTTTTTTATAATTAAGTTAGCCCCAAGTGAAGGGGAAAAAGAATGATTTCTAGACCATTTATTTTGTTATAAAAAAAACACAAAAAAGTTCAAGATTTTGCTGGCAGATATATAATTTTTTATATGTATATTAATGAAAGGTAACTTTTTACTTTTAGTCTCTATCTGAAGAATAATAAGTTTAAGTGATGTACAAGAGAACATACAAAATATTAGGGAATGTGGCAATTTTAACAAATGAGAGAGCAAATGAGAGAGCACAGGGGTCAGATATATACCAGGCTCCACCCCAGCTCCAACACATCCCATGTGCGTGACCACTGGTAGGTTACTTGTCCTCAATAATTGTTGAACCCTCACCACACATCATACTTCAGGTACTGTGTTAAGCAGCAATCTCATAAAATTGTGAAGATTCAAAAAGATGAATACTATTGCCCTAGCAGGGTGGCTCAGTTGGTTGGAGCGTTGTCTCAACACCAAAAGGTTGCAGGTTCGATTCCAAGTCAGGGCACATACCTAGGTTGTGGGTTTGATCCCCAGTTGGGGCAGGAAGGGAGGCAGCCAATGGATGTTCTCACATCAATGTATGTCTGTCTCTCTGTCTCTCTCTGTCTCTCTCTCTCTCTCTCCCAAGAGCAATGAATATAGCCTTGAGTGAGGATTTAAAAAAACAAAACAATGGATACTGTTATCACCCTCCCATCTCAAGATGAAAAAAAACAGAACTCAAAATTATTAAAGTGGCTTGTCCAAAGTTGGAAAGTAAATAAATATGGTAGTGGGAGCAAGATATAAGAACTGACCAGCCAATTCCAGGGCCACGGGAAGGGCCTCACCTCACTAAGCCCATCAGGAAACATCTAATTCCAAAATGGGTCCTTTCACTAGTCTCATCGCCTCCGGGGTTGCCTCGCCTGTGAAATCCATGTAAGTGTTTAGAACTGTTACAAGAGCCAAATGAGACTGTAACACGTGTGCTTCCCACACTACGTGGAATATAGCAATTATTCAGTATTCTTACACAGACACTTGAGAGACGAAAAAACCTGCAAAAGGCTGTTCTTTCCCAAATACATGAAAATTCCCACTGAGGACACTCACCCCTTGACCGGAATCGAACCGGGGACCAATCAGTCCGCAGGCCGACGCTCTATCCACTGAGCCAAACCGGTTAGGGCAACTATGTCTTTTTTCTTTTCTTTTTTTATTTATTTTTTCTTGTTTGCAGTATCATACATGATCATCAAACTGCTTCTAGAATGTTCACACCTGTTACTGCAAATTCAAAACCCGGGAAGCACTCCTCCCGGGAATTTGCTTTAGGTCAGGGTAGGGCTGCCAGGTACGAGGCTGCACCCGCAACGGGGCGGGTTCAGCAACACAGGAGCCTTTCCCCAGACCACTCTTTTCTTTTTTTAAGTAACCATTTTTGTGGAATGTACAGCTGGGAATATATTATTACTTGACTTGCTAACTTCATACCCAAATCCTGTCATTTCACCGTGACTATACCATGTCTTCATGGTGCCATGTATTTTATTATTTACTAAATGATTTCCACCTGAGAGCCCGACCCCGCTCTCCACACAAAACGCTCAGCCCACAGTCCTCCCCGCCCCGCCTCCCCCCGAACTTCGCTCCCCACAATCCCAGGGATCTACCAGGAGGCGGCGTCCGCGCTGCCCACGATTAAAGGGTCCTTTCGCAGGGTGAGGCTGTTGTACAC